TGATGTAGTATCTCGTTATCAGTTCTTTTAACTCTGCTCAAGTGACTGAGCCACAAGCAAATTCAAGTGTTTTTCCAAAACTGAATAAATAGTTCATCCTAGATTATAAACTAGGACTATAAACATACAATTTCTGTGCCTCATTTTAAAAGATCAAATGAATTTTATTAGACTGTAAACTCTGTGACCTAGGACATCCTTGCAATAACTTCATTACCCTTGTCTTCATGAGACCCTGAATCTAACTGGGGCTTTCTGGACTCTACTGCAATAAGAACAATTAATTTTGTTCATAGCAATATACCTTTGCCAAAGTGATTTGGCAAGTATGGTGAGGTTCCAAAAAAGCCATTCGGTATGACAAACAGCTGAACAAAGCAAGAAAGCTATGTTCTGGCCTCTTTGTTGTGCTATCAATTTATTGTGCACTGAAAATGATTGAGATAGCATTAAAAACAGCTTATTTATTGTGGAAACAACAGAGAATAACTTGTACAGTACCACATAGGCTTTCTTAGCAGATAATTATTGTACATACTTTACTGACTCTGTACTTTCCACATATTTATGGTCCCATTGTAGCTTTAGATTGTAAATACATATTTTTTTTCTGTTACTAAAGGATGTGACAACTTGGGGCATTCGTATGCTACTTATAAATTCTATGTACTGTCTGTATCTTAATGCCTTACAACTTTTACTATACTACATACATGTGCACAGGAAGCAGTGGAACAACACCTGCATGCCTGAGCTGGGTAAACAGGCTATTAAACCTCTTTGGCATTTAAATTGGGAATAATATGATATGACTAAAGGCAGTGGCTCGTTATCTGGTTTTGCCCAGATGCATTAGTAAGTAAGATGCAGATCACCAGCTGTGAGACACTTCTCAGTCTCACTTGACAAGACTGATTCCTATCCACCTGACATAGGGGCCTAGAAATTTGCAAGGAAGGATTCCCCAGTCCCAGTAAGACTGGGAGTGCACATGGAGAGCAGAAGGAAGCTGATTTGCTCAGGTCAGGTGCAGAATTAAGAGCCTATGTACCTTAAAGCAGGGCTTGGCAATTATTTTGGTTGGCAGGCCAAATAAAAGTTTTGGTGAGCTGTAAGGGGCTACACACACAAAATCTTTTGGAAGATATAATTTTAATAAATTATAAATAAAAACAAATCATATAATATCTATCATATACTATCGAATATCTACTATAACATATAATTTTATTTCAAATATAATTTTTGTCTTGATTTATATAGTTTATATAGAGGTGATTGTGTAACAGCTCAAAATAAAGTCTTAACTCTTGTATACTGTGTGTCAGTGGTGTGGGGGTTGGGGAGTGTGTCTGGGGGGATGTGGGGTGGTTGTCTGTTCATGTGTGTGATGGGGAGCTGCCCACATGCTAGTCCTGGGAGCTGGCCAGGGGTGAGGAGAGGAAGGATGGAGGGGCAGGGCGTATGTGGAGCAGAGCTCCTCTGGGTGGTGCGGGTGTGTTCTGCCTTCCCACTCCCACCTGGCCCACGGCTGCATTCCACATGGGGCCGAGCCTTGCCCGCTACTACCTGGGGCAGCCTGTGTTGAACTCCTGCCTACACCTACTGTTGCCCTGTGGGGTCAGGCCAATGCTCAGGATCTCAATATCGTGCTGTTAGACAGGAGGGCATGGTATACAATTGCACATATATGCACTTAAAAATCAATTAGGCGCACACACACACACTCTAGGTGCATACACCCCCACCAGATGTGCACACCCACACACTCTCTAGGTGCATACATCCCTGCCAGGCGTGCGCACACATGCGCACACACACACATACTCTAGGTGCATACACTCCCACCAGGCGCGCGCGCACACACTACCAACTCAGGCACATACACATCCAAAATGATAATGACATGAAATAATTCACATATACAAACAGGTTAAACACTGACTCAGGTGACAGTATGTGTGTGTATTGGAGCCTGTGGTACCTATGCTTGGGGTGCTTGGTAACTAAAGAGCAAGTGGCAGAGATCAGGGAAAAAGGCAGTGGTGACAAGACAATAACAGTAGCAGAGATCAGGGAAAAGGCAGTGGAGGTGAAGCAATAGCAGTGGCAGAGATCAGGGGAAAAAGCAGTGGGGATAAGGCAATAATAAAGAAACAGGGGGTTGCAGCCAGAGAGGAGCTCAGGATGGCTGGAGCCACAGGAGTATGGGGCAGGTGTTGGAGGTGGTGGTGAGCCAGAAGCAGGAGAGGGAGAAATGAGACAGAAGTTAGAAGGGTGAAGAGCAGAGATTGGAGCAGGGCCAGAACTGTAGTAGAGCAAAACCCAACTCAGGGGTCCAAATAACAGTTTTATTAAATGAACACTGTACTGTACAGTTTGGTTCCCCCACATGCTCACACAACGGTAGCAGGAGAAAAAGACTCAGTGGAAGGGTTGGAGTCCAGGTAGGGAAGAGAAACAAAGTCCAAGTCATTGGTTGAAGACAGGATGGGGGTGATAACTACCTATCCAGGATGGGAGGAGGTCCTCAATGGCCAGTTGGGGTCTTTCTCCAGCAGGTGGTGTCCAGAGGGGGGTCGCCGGCAGGGGCTCTGGGTTGATAGGCAGCATGACATGGAGCAGGTCTGGTCCAGGTAAAGATGGCATCCCCAGGAGTCAGTCTTCACTACCCCCTTTTATGGGGCAGACTACCTCTGATCTCCTATGGGGAGGGCCTGTCCAGGCAAGGTCAGTCCTGTTCCAGAGGGTTCCCGATGTTCTTACTGAGCATGTGCAGCCTTGGCACAATGGTGGGTTGCCTCATCTTTTGTTTCTTGAATGCTGAGGGTGGTTCCAAGAGCTGGGTCATTGGTCCAGGTATTGATTTTTATGGTGGGGTGATTTAGTAGGGGGTCCTGCTATCATTGTGTTCACTCATCCATTCATTCTTTTTTTTAAGGCATTCAAGGAAAACCAATTTACATGGGAGAGGTTACAGAATTGCAACATACTTATATAACAGGGCATGGGGACAAGATGGGAACAAGATGGGAATGGATACTTGCCATCACTTTACAGACACAGGCCTAAACCATACAATATCGGTATGAAACAACAAAAATCAATGCACAAATAATAGGAAAACAGTAAAAATCAATACAAACATAACAGAACACTATTTACAGTACATAAAAAGGAGCTTATTACAATAATAGCATAAAAGAACTTAGTACTACTTGCAATCACTTACAAGGGATAGAGAGGGCAGATAGAAAGTCAGAAATGGTTGGGGAAGGGGAGGGAACGCATTTTAAAAATAAAAAAAAAGGAAAAACTGGGGGTTTTGCTACACTACCATGACTCAGGCCCTGGCCCCAGCCTGCTTGGCTACCCCTGCCTCCAACAGCTCCTCCTTTTCCTGCCCCTGCTGTGCCACTCCAGGCTCAGTCCCATGTAGAGTACTGTGCTGGATGGATACAATCAAGTGACAGCCCAGATTCAGCCCACAGGCCATATTTTGCTTACCCTCGCGTTAGAGGATTCTGACTAACCCCTTTCTTCCTTCCCCCTCCCCTCACCCAAAACCATTCAAGAGTGTTGAGGAAATAGGTTGATATTTATTAGTTTTTTACATAAATGTAAAAAGTGATATACACATATAAAAATACATTTATGACTGTTGTGCAATATACAGTTCTGAGTCATTGTCCTAAAAGCCTTTGTAAAACGTGTGTGTTGTGTGCTTCAAGTACATATCCTTAGAACAGTAAACTTAAAACCAGAATACCCAAAGGACTGGAGCTCTGCAAAAGGGAGGGCTTAAGTTATTTGGGTGGCCCACTTATCCCAGAGACATAGTTACGTGGTCCGTGGACACTGTGCTTTTGCAAAAGGCAGCTTTTGAGGAGTGTGTCCAGGAAGTCTGCCTGAGAGTCCAAGGAAAGAGGTAACACTGAACAGCCTAACCAGATGAAGAAAAGCTGAAAAGAACAATGGCACTTGTAGACATGACACTATTCACATGTACATGTGATGAAAATGTCACATGTGGCTTAATGGTGTCACAAGGTACACGTGTAAGACTTTTGGGGGCTTTAAATGGCTTGGCATTGTTGCAAACTAAGCAGAAGCAGTGACGGTCCCAATCCTCTTTGGGGGGAGGGGCGGGGATAGGAAGCCTGCCCACCTCTCCTGCAGCTGGGGGAAGGTAAACTGCCAGCAGGCCAAGTGGCCCCTGAGCTGCTGGGGGCCCTGGTCCTCCACTCTGTGGTGGTGGCACCTCCTGAGCAGGCTGCTAGTGTGTGCTGCCCCAGCTCGGGGAACAGTGGATTGGCTGGGTGCTGGGCCCCAGCTAGGGCAGCACCTGGCCCACTAGCAACTGCCTGTGCAGCCCCGGGGTGGAGGGGGGGGGGCGGGGATGACACCACCACAGAGGGAAGGACCAGGACTCCCTCCACAGCTCAGGGGCCACTTGGCCTGCCAGCAGCTGGCCCCCAAATCATAGGTAGGCTCCAGCTCCAACCAAAAAAAAAAAAAAAAAAAAAAAAAAAGGATCTGGCCCCCAGCCGTAAAATTGCCGGGGAAACTGAAAACGGCAGGTTTCAATTAAAACTTCAATTTTCAGGCAGCATCGAATAAACCTTGGAGATTAAACCCCTGTCAGAAGTGTCCCTTGAGTCTGGACGTAACCTTCAGCGGAGAGAAAATCTTTGTTTGACTTGTTGGTGATTCGGGGACAAACCGCAAGATTTGAACCCGGTCGGACTCCAGGGCGAGCCCGAGGCCCAGCTCCAGCAGCAGAGACAAATAGCAGCTGCACACGAGCGAGGCCCACCACTACTAACAGCTGCACAAGTTCCGCATGGGCTTCTCCCAGCTTTACGGCGCATGCGCCCCTCCAGGGCCCTACGCCTGCGCATAGGAACAGCGACCGCCTTCCGGCCTAGTTCTGGTCTAGGCCGGAGGTGCCGCGCGCGCAGGCGCACTCGGGTGTCCTCGGCTGTGCCCTCGTCGAAGCGTATCAGATAGGCGCGGCGCATGCGCGTTGCGTTTCTTCCAGCGCTGTAGGAGCCGTTTCCGTTGCCCAGGGAGCGGCGCGGTGCCGCCATGGCCGGGCTGCTGAAGAAGGTGAGAGCCTAGGGCGCTCTCCACATCCCACTCCCGTCTTGCGGGGAGCCTGACGTTACCCCTTCCGTCCCGGCCCTTGCGTGTCCTTTGTGCCCCGCGCCCCTCCCCCCCGCGCCGCGCCGCCTCTGGCCTCGCCCCCGGCTCCGGGCGCCGCTGAGCCCCGTGCGGCAGCTCTG